TATGAAGAATCAGAGTGAATCAAATCAACAATCACTGTTACAGCTTTAACTGAACAATATCAAAGGCAATTGTACCAGCAGAGGGGGGACCAGATGTTCCATATCGACCGCCAGTTTCTGGAGAGACACAGAATTGGAGAGGGAGAAGAACAAAGAAGAAGGAGGAATATTTCAGCTACACTTTCAGCAACTTTCAGAAGACTGGTATAATTATGGACAGATTGGGTACTTTACCTGTTCATGCAACAAGTTAGGAGGAAGAACAGAGAACATTTTTAAGGAAGATACAGGGGCAATTCAAGATCACCTGTTAGTGTCTAGAGGAGATCCGGAAGGGGGGTGCATTGCTGAGAGCCTCGATTAGAGGAGAAGAGAAAATAGCCAACAATTGAAGTAAAAACAACCGACCATTAGAAGTGATAGTGAATAGGGGAAAAACTTATCTGGGTTCAGTCTAAAGAGGTTAAACATATCACTCTGTAAAATAAACTAATTAGGTTAGGATAGGGATTGGAAGTAGTAAAACAGTTTAATTACTCTTAAGGAATCAATTGAGCTCTGCTATAGAAGTCAAATAGGAATTAAAAGAGACAATATACCAATGACATTGTGGGAAGAGATGCATGGTGTAAATTGAAGTGTTCAATCAGAGGCACACTAGACGACTGATTGTCTGGTAGAATATTTTAAGAAGTAGGGTTTTTTGGGAATAATTTGCTTAAAAGATAATATCCTAGGAAGGATGATAATGTATTAGATTACCTGTTAGACAATCTGTCTGGGAAAATAAACTTAATAGAGTGACTGTTATTCTGGGTTACATCCTGACACAAAGAGATTTGAGGTTAGGCTAAAGGTGTTTAGTTGGTTTTGCCAAGTCTGTGTGTAATGAGTCAGAAGCAGGTGGGGAACTTTCCCAATCACATAGTCTAAACATTTGGTGGTAGGGGATTTTGTGAAAATCAGGGGAAAAGGTTTTAAATGTTATGAGAGAAAAGATTAGATTAAAATAAGTTAGGAGTAGATTAGGGTTGAAGGAACTCTGAGACAGTAAGCTAAGTTTTAACGTTAGTAGTAAGAGAGAGAGAGAACCGTAATGAATGACACTTTAGAATAGGAAGATCAAGGTAATTGTGGGTACCTTTTGTTATAATCAGAAGGTTTAAAGTTTAGAGGTAGAACTGAAAGGGGGAAAAAGTGACACTAGTGGTGATGGATGGAAGTACAAGTAAAGAGTTCAGAGCTTTGGGAAAACTAGGTTGTTTATAGGGGTCCAGCATCAATTATAGGGGGAAAATACTGTTATTAGGGTTAGGAGAATAATAATTATAATATGCCATTTAGGATGATGACGTTTCTTTCACAGAGAGAGAGAGAGATAATTAGGGAGAATATGTGTACTTATCTAGTGAAAGCATTAAAATTTGTTTTGGTTAAGAATTATTGGTTAAAGGGCTATGTAATTTGTAAGGTGACGCTTATAATGGAAGATTTGAAGTCTGTAGAAGTTTCCACAGTCACAGAGGGAGTTAAGGATAAGTTTATTACAGTAGTCACTCCAACAGTGAATAATACACATGGGATATGGGTAGCTTTTCCACTAGAAGGAATTAAGGGTTTTAATTCATCAACTAAATCAACGACGGTAATGGTAACTTTGGAAAGGAATTAATGACTCAGGAGTTTATGTTATGGATGGAGAGGGCTGTCAATGATAGTACGAATAGGATTAAAATAGGAGAGCAGATAGAAACAATATAGATTAATCTGAAATGGAGAATATAGATTCATCATGGAAGCTGCAGGATGGGGTCTTTTGATTTTGATGACAGAGGGGGGGGGGGGGGGTATCTGATCAGTACTGCTCGTTCCTCTGTTGTGAAAATTAGAGATAGATTAACTCATTCTGTAAGGTCAGTGAGGAATCTTGAGGGTTGAGGTCTGTTGGGGATGCCAGCCCAAGACGTGTTAGACGGTCGCGCGGCCTCTATCAGGTGTGGGTAAGTCTTATGCTTTGTCATGACTGTGGTATCGGCAACAGTCATTGACAGATAAAATAATGTCGTTGTCAGAACAGTAGGGTTTAAGGGTTCTTGGGTAAATGGATTACCCTATGGGAATTGTTAGATGGAAAGTAAAGTCAGGTAACAGTGGAAACCTGAAGTATTCAGGTGAACCAGTGAGGATAAAAGTTGGTGTTGTTCTAATAAAACATATGAGGTAAGGGGTATGTTTATGGGAATATCAGAGTGTGATGAGTATAGGATAACCTTGGATAAGTATGACCTTAAGGGTAGTAATGACAAATAATAGGTTACTTTTTATATATCAGGTAGTAAGAAGAGCAGGACTTTGATGGTTAAAAGATTAGCTTTTGACTGACAATGTGACTATGGGAATTTTAGAGATATTTGGTGGGTTTGTGATGATAGAGTATATTCTTACCCTATGGGGGATAGGATGTTGTTACAGGTCAACGTTTAAGCTTCCATATGAGGTTTTTTACCATTAAAAGAGGAGTGGTACCAACACAGAAATCTGAAGCTAGGGTTGAAAATGGGGTGAAAAGAGACATGGCTACATGTCATAGTCTTCAAGCCTATCATTGAAGGGTAAGTCTAAGAGAGAAGGGGGGACTTCATTCATGGTATGGTGTAACATTTGGGAAGATAATATTGATAAATATTAGTTATACTTTGAGTCCAGATAGTTCAGATAAGATCACTGGGGTTATAGATGCATTATAAGGGATGTGTTTGGGAGATCTGAGAAGATTTGGTTGCAAGATCAATTAGGCCAGTAGGGGCAGTGATGGGTCAGATTTTAGTTTCAGCTTTGATAACACTGTGATGTTTGTAATTTGTTACTGATCTTTGAGAAAGTTATGATATTAAGATAGGTTGGAGAGTGATTCCTGGAGACAACACTCAGATGTCGTTGTTGATTGTTCCGGATCTGGACGAAGACGGACGAGGGGGTCTAGATGGACTACTGATGGATAAATATCATTTTTTTTATGAGTTGATTATTTTTCAAATTTTTTTTTCAATAGTAGGGTGATGTTGGTATGATTTATGAATCAAGGGGGGGATAGGTTAATGTGATTCATGCATCATTTATGTATCATTTTTTAAATTCTTAGGTGAAATTGAGGTTTAATTTGAAAGTGGTTGTTTTGCAAAAGATACTGTTTGGTCGTTTCTTTTCTTTTCATTCCAGAAGCATTTGGGAGAACATGTGGAGATTGGAAAATTCAGACAAAGACAATATGAAGGGACAATATGACTGGAGGAGATGAAACAAGGAGGGTGTGGCTGATTCCATCATTAACAAGTCCATTGGAAGTCGAGACTACGGAGGAGATGAAGTGTAGTGGACTACATTCCAGTGTCTGCAATGAAATATAGACATATTTGATGTGTAATACATAATTGTGTCATATTCTTAGGTATTGATTTTAGTAGAATGATGTTTGATGTTATTGAATGCAGATGAGGATCTTAGATGCTTTTGTTTATTTCGATGGGGTTTAGGGAAAGGACGTTTAGGAAGGGAGAGATTCCCTTTCAGGTCCTATGGGTTGACCAGCCTGAGAGTGGATGTTTCTGGATAGGATTTTGTTTGCAGGGGAAACATGTGTATTTAATGGCATCATAGTTTCAAATGCATTTACATGAGTTATGAGGTTATCTGGAGTACCGACGGTGGTTGCCTGGGGCAGAGGGACCGTGAGAGAATTTTACTGTCTTGATAGATGGCTGCTGGACAGTTTTTCGCTCTCACACTCCATAAAGATTTATTCATAATTCATAGTAATGTATTCATACTTCATAAACAGTTGTTCATATGTCATAGTAATGTATTCTCACTTCATATGTCATAGTAATGTATTCTCACTTCATAAACAGGTATTTCATAGAAAGGTATTTACACTCTAGAGGAGAATGTGTTTGGTTTAATGTTAAAGATACTCAATAAGATAAATGGTTAATAGTCATAATCTTATTCTGTTTGTTTTCGAGACGTTTATTTCGTCTCGAAAGGGGGGAATATCGTATCTGAAGATTATGCCTTTGTTAAATGTTTTAGAGGGAACTGAAGGAATGTTGGTTGTTCAGGCCAGAGGGGGGATGTTTTATGATGTTATTTGAAATGTGCCGCTTGGAGGGTGACGCCCGAGAGGAGACTGGTGATTGGCCAGAAGAGGGGGTAACCCTTATTTTGGTATTGTCTATATAAGAAGGGTTTTGGACAATAAACCCCAGAGCGGTTATTATAATTCGAGGCAACTGCTCTCCAGACGACGCGTGTCTGTAATTTATGCTGTAACCTCGTGGTATGAATAAAAACTTCTGACACGATGCAGCATAGATGGACTCTTTTGTTGACAGCAATGATGACCACCATTCATCATATACGACACTGGGAATGTGATGAAAGAAATAAAAGCTGAAATAAGTCATTCTCCCGAGTGGTGCAGCGGTCTAAGGCACTGCATCTCAGTGCTTCACTACAGACCCCCAAAAATGTGTTTACATCCCTGTCAGTGAGCATTTCTTCTTTGCCAAAATAATCCATCCACCTTACAGGTGTGGCATATCAAGAAGCTGATTAAACAGCATGATCATTACACAGGTGCACCTTGTGCTGGGGACAATAAAAAGGCCACTCTAAAATGTGCAGTTTTGTCACACAACGCAATGCCACCTCTGCCCAGTCATGTGAAATCAATAGATTAGGGCCTAATGAATTTATTTCCATTGATTGATTTGCTTATATGAACTGTAACATCTTTGAAATTGTTGCATGTTGCGTTTCTATTTTTGTTCAGTATAGATAGATAGTGTGACAGGTAGGTAGGTAGTGATGGGGATGGATGGATGGATGGATGGATGGGATGGATGGATTGGATGGATGGATGGATGGATGGATGGATGGATGGATGGATAGATGGATAGATAGAGTGATGGAGGTGTACCGATAGATAGATCGCTAGCTCGATCGATAGATAGATAGCTTAGTATAGCTCCTCGCTCGCTCGCTCGCTCGCTCGACTCTCGCTCGCTCGCTCGCTCGCTGCTCGCTCGCTCGCTCGCTCGCTCGCTCGCTCTCGCTCGCTCGCTCGCTCGCTCGCTAGCTCTCTCGCTCGCTCGCTCGATGGTAGGGTAAGGTACTCCTGCATTTGGTCATGTGTTTGGACTCTTCAGAGAGGTGGTGGTGGTGTTGCTAGGGGTGTTGCTACGGGGCTCCAGCCTCAGTTTGATTGGTCGTTTAGGCATCAGCAGAAACTGGCTGTCCATCTCCAACAGGATCTATAAAGAATAACAAAACAGAACAGAACATAACCCTGGTTGTCCATCTCCAACAGGATCTATAGAGAATAACATGACAGAACAGAACATAACCCTGGTTGTCCATCTCCAACAGGATCTATAGAGAATAACATGACAGAACAGAACCCTGGTTATCCATCTCCAACAGGATCTATAGAGAATAACAGAACAGAACATAACCCTGGTTGTCCATCTCCAACAGGATCTATAGAGAATAACAGAACAGAACATAACCCTGGTTGTCCATCTCCAACAGGATCTATAGAGAATAACAGAACAGAACATAACCCTGGTTGTCCATCTCCAACAGGATCTATAGAGAATAACAGAACAGAACAGAACCCTGGTTGTCCATCTCCAACAGGATCTATAGAGAATAACAGAACAGAATATAACCCTGGTTGTCCATCTCCAACAGGATCTATAGAGAATAACATGACAGAACATAACCCTGGTTGTCCATATCCAACAGGATCTATAGAGAATAACATGACAGAACAACTGAGCATATGGATGTTGGAGATGGACAATGTGTGCTATGTGTGTGTGTGTGTGATTAGATTAACCATTAGATACTAACCTAACCACTGATCTAGGACCAGATTCCCCTGACCCAGTCCTAACAGTAACCTAACCACTGATCTAGAGCGCCCCCCAGTGTCTTTATGTGTGAAGTGTCAACATAGAGTTGAATGCAGGACTAGGGAGAATCTCAATTGCATTTACTTGATTCCTCGCATTCTTTCTCATCCAATGGGTTTTGAGGAGGAGGCGGGGATAGAGAACCGCGAGGAATCAAGGAAAGACAATTGAGATTCTTCCTTATTCTTCTATATTTGCAACGATGGCATTGACCATGCTAAAACAGGCGCTGACCATGTTAAAACAGGTGGTGACCATGTTAAAACAGGTGGTGACCATGTTAAAACAGGTGGTGACCATGTTAAAACAGGTGGTGACCATGTTAAAACAGGTGGTAACCATGTTAAAACAGGTGGTGACATGCCAAAACAGGTCCATGTTAAAACAGGTGGTGACCATGTTAAAACAGGTCCATGCTAAAATAGGTGGTGACCATGTTAAAACAGGTGGTGACCATGTTAACACAGGTGGTGACCATTTTAAAACAGGTGGTGACCATGCTGAAACAGGTCCATGTTAAAATAGGTGGTGACCATGTTAAAACAGGTCCATGTTAAAATATGTGGTGACCATGTTAAAACAGGTCCATGCTAAAACAGGTGGTGACCATGTTAAAACAGGTCCATGCTAAAACAGGTGGTGACCATTTTAAAACAGGTGGCAACTATGTTAAAACAGGTGGTGACCATGCCAAAACAGGTCCATGTTAAAACCGTTTGGTACCATGTAAAACAGGTGGTGACCATGCTAAACAGGTGGATGACCATTTTAAATAACAGGTGTTACCATGTTAAACATGTCCATGCTAAAATAGGTGGTGAACCATTTAAAACAGGTTGGTGACCATGTTAAAACAGGCTGTGTGACTCAGGCTAAAACAGGGTGTGACCATTTTAAAAACAACAGGGTGGTGCCATGCTGAACAGGTCCATGTTAAAATAGTGGTGACCATTTTTAAAACAGTCCATGTTAAAATAGGTGTGACCATGTTAAAACAGGTCCAGGCTAAAACAGGTAGTGACCATTTTAAAACAGGTGGTGACCATGTTAAAACAGGTGTTGACCATGTTAAAATAGGTGGTGACCATTTTAAAACAGGTGTTGACCATGTTAAAACGGGTTCACGTTAAAACAGGCAGTGACCATGTTAAAACAGGTGATGACCATGTTAAAACAGGTGGTGACCATGTTAAAACAGGTGGTAACCATGTTAAAACAGGTGGTGACCATGCCAAAACAGGTCCATGTTAAAACAGGTGGTGACCATGTTAAAACAGGTGGTGACCATGTTAAAACAGGTGGTGACCATGCTAAAACAGGTGGTGACCATTTAAAAACAGGTGGTGACCATGCTGAAACAGGTTCATGTTAAAATAGGTGGTGACCATGTTAAAACAGGTCCATGTTGAAATAGGTGGTGACCATGTTAAAACAGGTCCATGCTAAAACAGGTGGTGACCATTTTAAAACAGGTGTTGACCATGTTAAAACTGGTTCACGTTGAAACAGGCTGTGACCATGTTAAAACAGGTCCATGTTAAAACAGGTGGTGGCCATTTTAAAACAGGTCCATGTTAAAACAGGTGGTGACCATGTTAAAACAGGTCCATGCTAAAACAGGTGGTGACCATGTTAAAACAGGTCCATGTTAAAACAGGTGGTGACCATGCTAAAACAGGTCCATGATAAAACTGGTGGTGAACATGTTAAAACAGGTCCATGTTAAAACAGGTGGTGACTATTCTAAAACAGGTCCATGTTAAAACAGGTGGTGACCATGTTAAAACAGGTGGTGGCCATGTTAAAACAGGTGGTGACCATGCTAAAACAGGTGTTGACCATTTTAAAACAGGTGGTGACCATGTTAAAACAGGTGGTGACCATGTTAAAATAGGTGGTGACCATTTTAAAACAGGTCCATTTTAAAACAGGTGGTTACCATTTTAAAACAGGTGTTGACCATGTTAAAACAGGTTCACGTTAAAACAGGCGGTGACCATGTTAAAACAGGGTCACAGGTGGTGACCATTTTAAAACAGGTCCATGTTAAAACAGGTGGTGACCATGTTAAAACAGGTCCATGTTAAAACAGGTTTCAGAGTTGAATACAGGACTAGGGAGAATCTCAATTGCATTTCCTTGATTCCTCGTATTCCTTCTCATCCAATGGGTTTTGAGGAGGAGGTGAGGATAGAGAACATAAGGAATCAAGGAAAGACAATTGAGATTCTTCCTTATTCTTCTATATTGGCAACGATGGCATTGACCATGCTAAAACAGGCGCTGACCATGTTAAAACAGGTGGTGACCATGCAAAAACAGGTGGTGACCATGTTAAAACAGGTGGTGACCATGTTAAAACAGGTTGTGACCATGCTAAAACAGGTGGTGATCATGCTAAAACTGGTGGTGAACATGTTAAAACAGGTCCATGTTAAAACAGGTGGTGAACATGTTAAAACAGGTGGTGACCATGTTAAAATGGGTGGTGACCATGTTAAAACAGGTGGTGACCATGCTAAAACAGGTGGTGCGTCTGCTCAGGTGACCATCTCACCTCGGTCTCGTCGCAGACGGAGAATGTGAAACTCTGGAGGATCTCGACCATGGCCAGTTTGATTATGATCAGGGCGAAACGCATCCCGATACAGTTCCTGGGCCCTGCCCCGAACGGCATGTACGTGTACGGGTCAATAGACTCCTTGTTCTCCTTACTGAACCTGGACAGGGAGAGGGCAGACACATTACACATTGGATTGGAGTTGATTTGTGGTTGTGGTTCAGTCACATTACACATTGTATTGTAGTTGATTTGTGGTTGTGGTTCAGTCACATTACACATTGTATTGTAGTTGATTTGTGGTTGTGGTTCAGTCACATTGTATTGTAGTTGATTTGTGGTTGTGGTTCAGACACATTACACATTGTATTGTAGTTGATTTGTGGTTGTGGTTCAGTCACATTACACATTGTATTGTAGTTGATTTGTGGTTGTGGTTCAGACACAACACATTGCACTGCAGTATAATGATGCACTGTAGTTGTGGTTACATTGCAGCAGTGTGTTTATCCTTGTGTTGTGGTTGTGTTGTGGTTGTGTTGTGGTTGTATTGTGGTTGTGCTATGGTTGTGTTGTGGTTGTATTGTGGTTGTGCTATGGTTGTGATATGGTTGTATTGTGGTTGTGCTGTGGTTGTATTGTGGTTGTGCTGTGGTTACGATGCGGTCCAGTACCTCTCTGGTTTGAACTCCTCAGGGTCGGACCAGATCTCTGGGTCGCGGTGGAGGGTCCACGTGGGAACCATGACAACGCAGTCTTTGGGGATGACGATGCCGTTGATCTCCACCGTCTTCTGGGCGACCCTCTCCAGTCGGGGGGAGACTGGGTACAGTCTCAGAGACTCGTTCAACACACTGTCCAGATAGTCCATCTGCATCAGAGCTTCGTACTGGATAGGAGCCTGAACCGGGGTTACACATACATCAGTACCTCACCACATCTGGCACCGGGGTTACACACACGTCAGTACCTCACCACATCTGGCACCGGGGTTACCTTGTTGGGGAACACAGTATCTATTTCCTCCTGCAGTTTGGTCATGACATGTGGGTTGGTAGCCAGGTTATAGGCCAGGAAACTCAGAGTACTGCTGCTGGTCTCGTAGCCGGCAAAGATAAAGATCATGGCCTGAGACAAGATCTCATGATCGGTCAGTCCTGTGTGTGGGGGGGGGGGGGGGGGGGAGAGAATTGTTTACAGGTGTGTGTTTGTAACAGTAGTTAACAGGTGTGTGTTTGTAACAGTAGTTTACAGGTGTGTGTTTGTAACAGTAGTTTACAGGTGTGTGTTTGTAACAGTAGTTTACAGGTGTGTGTTTGTAACAGTAGTTTACAGGTGAGTGTTTGTAACAGTAGTTAACAGGTGTGTGTTTGTAACAGTAGTTTACAGGTGTGTGTTTGTAACAGTAGTTTCCAGGTGTGTGTTCGGCAGGTACCTTTAGTCTGTTCCTCTCCTGTCTTTGTGTCGCTGCCTTTCTGAGAGTCGATCATCAGCTGTAAGAAATCCACCCGACTCTGGAAGCAGAAATAAATGATGTAAAAATCCATCCAATCACAACCAACACAAACAGATTCTACTGGATCTGGTCCAATCACAACCAACACAACCAGATTCTACTGGCTCTGGTTCAATCACAACCAACACAAACTGTCACGACTTCCTCCGAGGCTGCCTCCCCTCCTTGTTCGGGCAGGCTTCGGCGTTCGTCGTCACCGGAGTACTAGCTGCCACCGATCTATGTTTCTGTGTTACACTAGTCCTGTCTTTATTATTCACACCTGTTACCCATTATGCTTATTTATTTCCCTTTAATGACCTCTGTTTTCCCTCCTGGGTTTGTGCGTGATTGTCCATTGTTTTACGTCGTTTTGGTGAGCTGTTGTACTGCTCTTCCCTGCGTGGAGGGTTTGTTATGGTTTACTTTTGTTTTAGTAAATCAATTTCTCAGTTCTGTGTCCTGCGCCTGATTCCGTTTCACCACTTCACCCAGACGTTGACAGAATCACGCACATCTATGGAGTCAGCAGGCACGTCCGATCCCAGCGCCTCGGTGGAGGAACGCATCCAGCAGCAACTCGACCGTGCTGCAGACTCTAGGTCTTGCTGTGGATCGAGTGGTGAACACCATGGATCGATGGGAGAGAGGTGGTTTCCCTACACTTCCTCCTCCTCTGATTTCTTCCCCATCAAAGACCATCAAACCCTAGATCCAGTGGAATTTGGCTCTCGCTCCCGATGGGACAGCTGCCGGGTGTAAGGGTTTCCTGCTCCAGGTGGAGCTCTACCTGGCAACCATCCACCCGGCTCCCTCGGGATACGAGAGCGTGTCCGCCCTCATCTCCTGTCTGTAGGGCAGAGCGGTGGGATGGGCCAACGCGGAGTGGGGTGGAAAAGATGCTGAGTCCGTACGTTACGAGGATTTTTACCCGCCGTTTTCCGGGCAGTATTTCGATCATCCGCCGGATGGGGAGAGCAGCAGGGGAGCGTATGTTTCACCTCAGACAGGGAAGGAGGAGCGCACAGGACTTCGCCCTGGATTTCAGGACACTGGCAGCCAGCGCGGGATGGAATAAGAGGGCCCTGATTGACCCACTACCGATGCAGTCTACGGGAGGACGCTCGTAGGGAGCTGGCCTGCAGGGACACGAATCTAAACCTGGACCAGCTGGTAGATTTATCGATCCGGCTGGATAACCTGTTGGCCACCCGCGGACATCCGGATCAGGGTCCGTCCAGTCCATCCCCCAGCACTTCCGACTCCACTCCTATGGAGCTTGGAGGTGCTGATGTGGAGAGACTCTGCAAGGGGGTGGTCTCCTGCACCAACTGTGGCCGCAGAGGACACACTGCGGGCCGTTGCAGGAGAGAGCAGCAGGCAGGGACCTGGTGGGCCATCCCAGGTGAGTAGGCACCCAACTCACCCAGAGCTCCCTGTTGCTCACATGATGGTCAATGTAAATTTCCCTGGGTTTTCCCCACATTCGCAGTATAAGGCGCTCGTAGATTCCGGTGCAGCTGGGAATTTTATGGATAGGCTGGTTGCGCATAAATTAGGGATTCCTATATTGCCTGTAGATGTGCCCTTCCCCATACGTGCCCTAGATAGTCGCCATGTAGGGTCGGGTATGATTAGGGAGGTCACAGTTCCACTCCGTATGGAGACGCAGGGGGGTCATGAGGAAAAAATGTGTCTCTTCCTTATTGATTCTCCTGTGTTTCCCGTGGTGCTGGGGCTTCCCTGGCTAGCCACCCATGACCCCAGGATTTCATGGCAATAGAGGGCTCTTAGGGGATTGTCACCTCAGTGCTCGGGAAGGTGTGTAGGTGTTTCCGTAGGGGCAACTACGGTGGAGAGTCCAAACCATGTCTCCACAATGCACATTCTCTCAGAATATGCCGATTTGGCTCTCGCCTTCTGTAAGAAGAAGGCGACTCAATTACCACCCCATCGACGAGGGGATTGTGCGATAGATCTCCGGGAGGGTGCTGCACTTCCCAGGAGTCACGTGTATCCTCTGTCACAGGAGGAGACGGTGGCTATGGAGAAATATGTCACCGAATCTCTGGGACAGGGATACAGTCGGCCCTCCACTTCCCCTGCCTCCTCAAGTTTATTTTTTGTGAAGAAGAAGGATGGAGGTTTACGCCCGTGCATTGACTATCGAGGTCTAAATCAGATAACCGTAAAATACAGCTATCCTCTACCTCTCATAGCTAGTATGACAGAGTCATTGCATGGGGCGCACTTCTTCACAAAATTGGACCTCAGGAGCGCGTACAATCTGGTCCGTATCCGGGAGGGGGACGAGTGGAAGACGGCATTTAGTACCACCTCTGGTCACTATGAGTACCTCGTCATGCCGTACGGGTTGATGAATGCTCCCTCAGTCTTTCAATCCTTTGTCGATGAGATTATCAGGGACCTGCACGGACAGGGTGTAGTGGTGTATATAGATTATATTCTCATATACTCCGCTACACGCATGTGTCCCTGGTGTGCAAGGTGCTTGGTAGACTGTTGGAGCATGACCTGTACGTTAAGACTGAGAAATGTTTGTTCTTCAAACAGTCCGTCTCTTTCTTAGGATACCGCCTGTCAGAGTCAGGGGTCGAGATGGAGTGTGACCACATTTCAGCCGTGCGTAATTGGCCGACTCCTACCACGGTAAAGGAGGTGCAGCGATTTTTGGGGTTTGCCAACTGCTACCGGAGATTTATCCGGGGCTTTGGCCAGGTAGCAGCTCCCATAACCTCTTTACTGAAGGGCGGACCGGTGCACCTGCAGTGGTCAGCTGAGGCGGAAGGGCTTTTGGTCAGCTGAAGGTGCTGTTCACCTTGGCTCCCGTGCTGGCTCATCCGGATCCTTCCTTGCAATTCACAGTCAAGGTGGACGCGTCCGAGGCTGGGATAGGAGCTGTATTGTCTCATCGCTCGGGTACGCCTCCCAAACTCCGCCCCTGTGCTTTATTTTTGAAGAAGCTCAGCCCGGCGGAGCAAAACTATGATGTGGTGGACCGGGAGCTGTTAGCTGTTGTGAAAGCTCTTAAGGTGTGGAGACATTGGCTTGAGCGGGGCAAAACACCCTTTTCTCATTTTGACTGACCACCGCAATCTGGAGTACATACGGGCAGCGAGGAGACTGAACCCTCGTCAGGCAAGGTGGGCCATGTTTTTCACGCGTTTTGTGTTCACCCTATCGTACAGACCAGGTTTCCAGAATGCTAAGGCAGACACTCTGTCCCGGCTGTATGACTCAGTGGAGCGGACGAGGGAGCCCACTCCCATACTTCCGGCTTCTTGTCTGGTGGCACCTGTGGTATGGGAGGTTGACGCGGACATCGAGCGGGCGTTACACACGGAGCCCACTCCTCCCCCAGTGTCCAGTGGGTCGTGTGTACGTTCCGTCTGAGGTTCGCGATTGTTTGATTTATTGGGCTCATACGTCACCCTCTTCTGGCCATCCTGGCATCGGTCGGACAGTGCGCTGTCTTAGTGGGAAGTGCTGGTGGCCTACCTTAGCTCAGGACGTGAGGGTTTATGTTTCTTCCTTTTCGGTGTGCGCCCAGTGCAAGGCACCTAGACACCTGCCCAGAGGGAAATTACAACCTCTCCCCGTTCCACAACGGCTGTGGTCACACCTATCGGTGGACTTTGATACGGATCTTCCTCCGTCACAAGGTAACACCACGATCCTGGTTGTTGTGGATCGGTTTTCTAAGACCTGTTGTCTCATTCCTTTGCCCGGTTTCCCTACTGCCCTACAGACCGCGGAGGCCCTGTTTACACACGTCTTCCGGCACTACGGGGTACCTGAGGATATAGTGTCTGATCGGGGTCCCCAGTTTACATCAAGGGTCTGGAAGGCGTTCATGGACCATCTGGGGGTCTCGGTCAGCCTGACCTCAGGGTTTCACCCTGAGAGTAATGGGCAGGTGGAGAGAGCAAACGTTGACAAACATAGGTTTCCTAAACATAATATATACTGAACAAAGATATAAATGCAACATGTAAAGTGTTGTTCCCATGTTTCATGAGCTGAAATAAAAGATCCCAGAAATGTTCCATACTCACAAAAAGCTGATTTCTCAAAAGTTGTGTACACAATATTGTTTACATCCTTGTTAGTGAGCATTTCTCCTTTGCCAATATAATCCATCCACATGACAGGTGTGGCATATCAAGAAGCTGATTAAACAGCATGATCATTACACAGGTGCACCTTGTGCTGTGGACAATAAAAGGCCACTCTAAAATGTGCAGTTTTGTCACACAATACCACAGATGTTTTACGTTTTGAGGGAGCGTGCAATTGGCATGCAGGAATTGTCACGATCGTTGATGAAAGGGACGGACCAAGGCACAGCGTGATATGCGTACATGTTTATTTTAATGAATAAACAACCGACAAAACAATAAACAAACGAAACGTGAAGTCCAAGGTAGAACACAAAACATACCTACACGGAACAAGATCCCACAACACACTAGTGCCAATAGGCTGCCTAAGTATGGTCCCCAATCAGAGACAACGAGCGACAGCTGCCTCTGATTGGGAACCACACCGGCCAACATAGAAATACAAATCCTAGAATATACGACATAGACAATCACCACATAGAAAATACACACCCTGACTCAACAAATAAGAGTCCCCAGAGTCAGGGCGTGACAGTACCCCCCCTCCACCAGAGCTGTTGCCAGAGAATTGAATGTTAATTTCTCTACCATAAACCGCCTCCAACGTTGTTTTAGAGACATTGACAATGCGTCCAACTGGCCTTACAACCGCAGACCACGTGTAACCACACCAGCCCAGGATCTCCACCTGCGGGATCGTCTGAGACCAGCCACCCGGACAGCTGATTAAACTGAGGAGTATTTATTTCTGTAATAAAGCCCTTTTGTGAGGAAAAACTCGTTCTCATTGGCTGGGCCTGGCTCCCCAGTGGGTGGGCCTATGCCCTCCCAGGCCAACCCATAGCTGCGCCCCTGCCCAGTCATGTGAAATCCATAGATTAGGGCCTAATCTATTTATTTCAATTGACTGATTTCCTTATATGAACTGTAACTCAGTAAAATCGTTGACATTTTTGCATGTTGCGTTTATATTTTTGTTCAATATATAAATTCAGAATATTTCAATACAAATATAAAACGTTTACAGTTGTGTTCCCAGTGCCGCGTCCAGATTTGATCTTAGCCAGCGAAGCGTAAAAGAAGTCTGTCACCGGAGTCGGGAAGAAAGAAAACTTCATCTTCTCCAAGATAGGACCCGTGAAGGGGAACAACGCTGGAGAAGGAGGGGAGAGGAAAAGAGAAACCTTTCATAAAAAGTTACATCACTTTATGTGATTAAAAAGTACAACTTTGCTTCCGTGTGTGTGTGTGTGTGTGTGTGTGTGTGTGTGTATGTGTGTGTGTGTGTGTGTGTGTGTGTGTGTGGTCTCACCGATTAGGAGGAACAGTGGGTTTAACATGTCAAACTTGAGCATCTTCTTGACGTTGGAGACGAAGGGGTCTGAAGGGTTGTTCAGAGAGTCAATGTCCACACTGAAGGCTGTGCTGGTGACCACGTCCATACTGTAGGGCCCAAAGAACCTGCAACACAACCACAATTACACAACTACTGACCACAACCACACAACTACTGACCACAACTACTGACCACATCCACACAACTACTGACCACAACCACACAACTACTGACCACAACTACTGACCACATCCACACAACATCTGACCACAACTACTGACCACAACTACACAACTACTGGCCACACAACTGCTGACCACAACGACTGACCACAACTACTGACCACAACTACTGACCACAACTACTGACCACACAACTACTAACCACACAACTATTAACCACACAACTACAGATCACACAACTACTAACCAAAACTACTGACCACATCCACACAACTACTGACCACAACTACTGACCACAACTACTGGCCACAACTACTGGCCACAACTACTGGCCACACAACTACTGACCACAACTACTGGCCACAAAACTACTGACCACAACGACTGACCACAACTACTGACCACACAACTACTGACCACAACTACTGACCACAGCTACTGGCCACACAACTGCTGACCACAACTACTGACCACAACTACTGGCCACACAACTACTGACCACATCCACACAACTACTGACCACAACTACTGGCCACACAACTACTGACCACAACTACTGGCCACAAAACTACTGACCACAACGACTGACCACAACTACTGACCACAACTACTGACCACACAACTACTAACCACACAACTATTAACCACACAACTACAGATCACACAACTACTAACCAAAACTACTGACCACACAACGACTGACCAAAACTACTGACCACACAACTACTGACCACAACTACTGACCACAACTACTGACCACAACTACTGACCACAACTACTGACCACAACTACTGACCACAACTACTGACCACAACTACTGACCACACAACTACTGACCACAACGACTGACCACAACTATTGACCACAACTACTGACCACAACTACTGACCACAACTACTGACCACACAACTACTAACCATACAACTACAGACCAAACAACTACTAACCAAAACTACTGACCACACAACTACTGACCAAAACTACTGACCACACAACTACTGACCACAAATAGTTACCACACAACTACTGACCACAACTACTGACCACAACTACTGACCACAACTACTGGCCACACAACTACTGACCACAACGACTGACCACAAATACTGACCACACAACTACTGACCACACAACTACTGACCACACAACTGCTGACCTCACAACTACTAACATTTACATTTTACATTTTAGTCATTTAGCAGACGCTCTTATCCAGAGCGACTTACAGGAGCAATTAGGGTTAAGTGCCTTGCTCAAGGGCACATTTACGTCATTTAGCAGACGCTCTTATCCAGAGCGACTACAAATTGGTGCATTCACCCTATAGCCAGTGGGATAACCACTTTACAAATTTTTGGGGAGGGGGGGGGGGGGGTAGAAGGATTACTTAAAGAGGTGGGGTTTCAAATGTCTCCGGAAGGTGGTGAGTGACTCCGCCGTCCTGGCGTCGTGAGGGAGCTTGTTCCACCATTGGGGTGCCAGAGCAGCGAACAGTTTTGACTGGGCTGAGCGGGAGCTATGCTTCCGCAGAGGAAGGGGAGCCAGCAGGCCAGAGGTGGATGAACGCAATGCCCTCGTTTGGGTGTAGGGACTGATCAGAGCCCGAAGGTACGGAGGTGCCGTTCCCCTCACTGCTCCATAGGCAAGCACCATGGTCTTGTAACGGATGCGAGCCTCAACTGGAAGCCAGTGGAGTGTGCGGAGGAGGGGGGTGACGTGAGAGAACTTGGGAAGGTTGAACACCAGACGGGCTGCGGCATTCTGGATGAGTTGTAGGGGTTTAATGGCACAGGCAGGGAGCCCAACCAACAGCGAGTTGCAGTAATCCAGACGGGAGATGACAAGTGCCTGGATTAGGACCTGTGCCGCTTCCTGTGTAAGGCAGGGTCGTACTCTCCGAATGTTGTAGAGCATGAACCTGCAGGATCGGGTCACCGCCTTGATGTTAGCGGAGAACGACAGGGTGTTGTCCAGGGTCACGCCAAGGCTCTTCGCACTCTGGGAGGAGGACACAACGGAGTTGTCAACCGTGATGGCGAGATCATGGAACGGGCAGTCCTTCCCCGGGAGGAAGAGCAGCTCCGTCTTGCCAGGGTTCAGCTTGAGGTGGTGATCCGTCATCCATACTGATATGTCGGCCAGACATGCAGAGATGCGATTCGCCACCTGGTTATCAGAAGGGGGAAAGGAGAAGATTAGTTGTGTATCGTCAGCGTAGCAATGATAGGAGAGGCCATGTGAGAATATGACAGAGCCAAGTGACTTGGTGTATAGGGAGAAAAGGAGAGGGCCTAGAACTGAGCCCTGGGGGACACCAGTGGTGAGAGCACGTGGTGCGGAGACAGCTTCTCGCCACGCCACTTGGTAGGAGCGACCGGTCAGGTAGGACGCAATCCAGGAGTGAGCCGCGCCGGAGATGCCCAGCTCGGAGAGGGTGGAGAGGAGGATCTGATGGTTCACTGTATCAAAGGCAGCAGACAGGTCTAGATATAATGTAGTGGTCCGAATACAACTACAACTACTGACCAAAACTACTGACCAAACAACTACTGACCACAACGACTGACCAAAACCACACAACTACTGACCACAAAGGGTCTGAAGGGTTGTTCAGAGAGTCAATGTCCACACTGAAGGCTGTGCTGGTGACCACGTCCATACTGTAGGGCCCAAAGAACCTGCAACACAACCACAATTACACAACGACTGACCACAACTACTGACCACATCCACACAACTACTGACCACAACTACTGACCACAACTACTGACCACAACTACTGACCACAACTACTGACCACAACTACTGACCACAACTACTGACTACAACCATACAACTACTGACCACAACTACTGACCACAACTACTGACCACAACTACTGACCACAACCACACACCTACTGACCACAACTACTGACCACAACTACTGACCACAACCACACAACTACTGACCACAACTACTGACCACAACTACTGACCACAACCACTGACCACACAACCACTGACCACACAACTACTGACCACACAACTACTGACCACACAACTACTGACCACAACTACTGACCACAACCACACAACTACTGACCACAACTACTGACCACAACCACACAACTACTGACCACAACTACTGACCACAACTACTGACCACAACTACTGACCACAACCATACAGGTATAGCCCCCCAAAAAATAAAAGTGTCTGTTAAGTGTCATATTATATACAGTGCCTTCAGAAAGTATTCACACCTTTTGACTTTTTCCATATTTTCTTGTTTTACAGCCTGACTTTAAAATGGATAACATTTAGATTTTGTGTCACTGGCCTTCCACACAAAGTGATGTGTGTCAAAGTTGAATTAATTAAAAATGAAAAGCTGAAATATCTTGAGTCAATAAGTGTTCAACCCCCTTTGTTATGGCAAGCCTAAATAAGCTCAGGAGTAAAAATGTTCTTACCAAGTCACATAATGAGTTGCATGGAGTCACTTGGTCTGCAATGATAGTGTTTAGCATGATTTCTTTATGACTACCTCATCTCTTTACCCCACACATACAATTATCTGTCAGGTCCCTCAGTCGAGCAGTGAATTTCAAACACAGATTAAACCACAAAGACCAGGGAGGTTTTCTAATGCCTCACAAAGAAGGGCACCTATTGGTAGATGGGTATAAAAAAAAGCAGACATTGAATATCCCTTTGAGCATGGTGAAGTTATGAATTACACTTTGGATGGTGTATCAATACACCCAGTCACTACAAAGATACAGGCGTCCTTCCTAACACAGTTGCCGGAGAGGAAGGAAACCGCTCAGGGATTTCACCATGAAGACAATGGTGACTGTAAAACAGTTACAGTTTAATGGCTGTGACAGGAGAAAACTGAGGATGGATCAACAACATTGTAGTTACTCCACAATACTAACCTAAATGACAGAGTGAAAAGAAGGAAGCCTGTACATAATAAAACATATTCCAAAACATGCATCCTGTTTGCAACAAGTTACTAAAGTAATACTGCAAAAAAGTGGCAAAGCAATTAACTTTATGCCCTGAATACAAAGTTTTACGTTTGGGGCAAATCCAACGCAACACATCACTGAGTACCACTCTTCATATTTTCAAGCATGGTGGTGGCTGCATCATGTTATGGGTATGCTTGTCATCGGCAAGGATTAGAGAGTTTTTTAGGATAAAAATAAACAGAATAGAGCTAAGCACAGGCAAAATCCTAGACAAAAACCTGGTTCAGTCTGCTTTCAACCAGACAGATTCACCTTTCAGCAGGACAATAACCTAAAACACAAGGCCAAATATACACCGGAGTTGCTTACTTAGACGACATTGAATGTTCCTGAGTGGCCTAGTTACAGTATTGACTTAAATTCGGCTTGAATATCTATGGCAAGACTTGAAAAATGGCTGTCTAGCAATGATTAACAACCAACTTGACAGAGCTTGAAGAATGTTTTATGAAGATTTTTCAGTGGACTATAGTGTGGATCTTTTCAGACTCAGTAAACTGTTTCTTCTCTCTTTAAGCTCCTCTCTTCCTCTCTAATCCACTCTAAGCCTTATCAGTGACTGAAACCAGACTGTTGCCCTTTGTCTCTCTCTTTAGCATAGTCCTGGAACGGAGCCAGGGGTTGAACAGAGTTCAGACTAAACATGGTTGATCACAACATGACGGGGGCGTTTTGGACTGGGTGGTAGAGAGGGAGGAGGCTGGTATATGTTTGAGAAATTGATTATGGACCTGCCATGTTTAAGTATCGATTGATAGGTCTGGAGGTCAGAACGGAGCCAGGAAAGGGCTCCGTTATTTTTACATGACAGGGCTGTTATTTTTACATGACAGGGCTGTTATGTTTTACATGACAGGGCTGTTATTTTTGCATGACAGGGCTTGGTCCCACCACTATTGTTTCCAGACACGGAACTAGAAGGGAGGGAA